GTGATCGATACCAGCTTATACGCGGGGACAAACCTGCTGATTGTTTATTCAGCAATTCCTGGTTTAGAGCATTGCTACTATTGTAAAACAGCTAAAATCTGTCCTTTAAGTGTACACATTCCGAAAAAGTTATTGAAAAGAAAGAAAGAACGAAAACCAACAACAACTGGGAAGGTATCAAAACAACTAGACGGCTATGAAGACACTGTGCCATATAACGTAATGTATCCGAAATCGGAAAAAAGCTAAAAGGAAAACACTTTTACATTCCAAATGTCATCTGCCAAGGGGCCGCAATATCTCACAGGTAAAGCGATGGCATACGTTGCTTTAGGTGAAGACTTATATTTGGGTTCGACGCTTGCTTCTCTTGGCGGTTTGTCTGTGATGACATGTTGTGTCCTTGGTCAAGACATTTTATCCTAATTGCTCTGGATGGCATGTGATGGGTCTCCACTATGGAGTACAATGAGCCACCAGACAGTGTCATGAGACCTTGCCTCAAAACAACCCTTAATGTTCACGGGGAGACAAACCTAACAAGCAAAGACATTAGGAGAGTGTTATTCATCACCTAAACAGAGATCTTTAACTCTATCAGCAGTAGTATTTGGTAGCGAAGTTTGATTCTGGAGCGGAGTCAGTTCATGTCAACATTTGAATAATGTCGCGTATGGCATATTAATCTGTGTAACAAAAATACAAAGGAAATACCGCAACGTCAATCTTGATTTAAAATCAAATCGATGAAAGAGTGCACATGCGCAGAAGATATACACATACACCCTCGAAAAAAGGGAACTAGGTGTTCCGTAAAGATGAGCGTCATCTGCTCCATCGACAACGCAGATCGGATGGAAGCAGCGAGGGGCCATAATGTGGAGGAAAATCGGAGTACCCTGGGAAAACCCCTACATACAATGTGAAAGCAACAGGTTTCTGTACAAATAATTCGTACACGTAGAATTCAAAAAGAATAGCACAGACATTGTGACATTAATGAAATCCTTATACGAAAGATAAAATTTGACTGCTCAGGGAAGGACAATTCATGACCGTTAATGTACAAAGGAAACCGACGAGAGTAGTGAAATATATCAAATCAACAGACCAGAAATAATAGTTAGGCTGATAGGAAAATATCGGAAGATATGATAATTTACCAAATGATGCAAGTGATTTTCCAAAACATTTGAAATCTCATTAAATATACGCATAGATACAAACTCACGTATTTTCTACTTTGTTAGTATGTAATAGGTTAGTTCCCTCACTTGACGAGGCAATTTGTTTCCACATAACATAGACAGCAGGAGTTTAATTTTGCAGAGGACGGGGCTTTAGAAAAAGCAGGTACTAACATTATTTATTGGGTACAACAAGAGCACACATAGGATTGCTTATTACAACAAAAATTATAAAACATCATTACACTTGCTCATCACTATAAAGATACTGTAGTTTCGCTTATCTCATATATTGTTTCTCTCAGGTGACCTACCATTGTACGGACGTCTGTAACTAAATAAGGTAATCAAAGGTTTCTACTACAATGATATAAGCGAGTTTACTGTATTAACTGACGCCTGGGGTTCTTTTACTATCATTATCTTTAATATACGTTGTACAAGGTCAATTAATATTTTCAGGAAAGACATGTTCCGATTTCAAAAAGCCTCTGATTGATCTTTGTGAAATATGATAAACGGGAGTATTGACATCGCTTTGGTGTAGTTCTTGTTTAGCTTTGTATGACGTGGGACCACCATCAAGTACTTCTGTTACTCCAAGGTCGATAATAACCCGGTTCCGGCGCGCCAAGCTTCATCAGCTAAGTTTGTATTACTTGTCTATTTATACGAAATTCCCAAATAAACTATGTGACTGTTTGTTACCTACCTAGTACTTTTTCAAAGAGAAAGATCTACATGAAATACTGTATCGATGTTTAGATTCGCAGGGCTAATACTCCGTGGTCATTCCGTTTGGGGCTATTTCAGGATGATTAAATTTCGCAAATGTCTATTCATTGGTATTTATGTATACAGATAGTTCACAGAAATTTCCCTTACATTTTGATATATGTTAAATGTTTACTGCATATCTAATTCCGCGCTTTCCTTAATGACCGCAAATATGGCGAATTATCAACTATACAGTACTAACAATCTGAAATGTTCGCTACTTGCTTTTCCACCGATATTTGAATTGATTAGTTATGATCTACCATATAAGGCGTTAATGACAGGAAATCCTCTAGTATCAATTCATGCACCACATGTGGTGACACGGGGCATCACGATGGATGCATTTTATGATGAATAAAGATATCATACCAGGTATCACAAGTGAGAAATCATGTCAGGTAACACATATGGTGACATCATGTCGGGTCCCACGTGTAGTGACGGTAGACATCATGCTGTCTTTACATCGAGGAAGTTAGGTCTCCTTAATTCGAATTTCCCACTTGTAACATTCTCTACAAGTTTGATCATGAATGTTTTTATTTTTGATGTTAACATGTTACACTTAATGTAGAAAGATATTCATATCTATTCATAGATTTGCTATTTACATTTTTATTTGTATTCGTAAGTCTTTATCTGGCTGCATATAAGTGACATATAACACTCCAATTTTAATCCGAATTCATTTTTAAAAACAAACTTCATATCTCCTACATTCTAGTAATCTGGCTTACAAAAGGATACTTTATGTAACTAATCCAATGCTAATTATTTCAGTACACGTTCAAACATTGTCCTTGGTTTAAGTTGGATATTTAAAGTCAGACATTAATGTCTTGAAATACATTAAGGACTCTTATCTCAATATGCAATATGATGCTCTTTTGGCGAGCTTTGAAATATGATATACTGGTTAAAATAATGTATTGAAAGAAATGTGATATCTCTATTGGTCCCGTTTTAAGACATATCCATTGACAGGTTTGGTAATTAAACAGAATGGTTGAATGAAACATTTCAAAAGGTAATTAGATAGAAAAATCATGTTAATGACTAATATATAATGTGTCACTGCTTGCGTAATATTACTAACAATATGAAATATACATTTCTATTCGCTTTACGATATATAAGAAGATAAGATAATTTCGTACTAGCGAGAAGGTTGGGTTTGAACGATTCAACAATTTAGTACTACAATGCTAATGTGATTCGAGTGATTAAATCTTCGCGGTGTTTCCATCTATGTTATAAGAAGGATACACGCAAGTCATGAAACGGACAATGTTTTCTCTCTCATTTCTCACTATGTCCATTCTTCCAGGTTGTATTCCATTCTCGAAAATAACAAATTAGAACACATCGAGATTAACAACCTAATTTGTATATTCGAGATAAAGGTTATACAGCAGGTGAATGTGGATATGGTATTTCTTTCACTTTCACTCTTGTGAGTTTTTTTGAACGGGTGCTTTATAACGTTTGGAAAATAACTAACTGTGTGAAAGGATATATCATATTTTACAATTATAAGTTTCTGTGACCAGTTTCTATCGCAGTAAAAAAAAAGCCTATTCCGAAGTAATATTAACCTGTCCTAAACACACGAGTGTTTTGTTACGTCATCAAGTAGAGCGTTATGATAAGATCTTTAGAAAAATGTCGCTATCTAATAATCAAACACAATTTCAGAAATACATGGCGATATCATAACTCAGTCCAAATTATTGCTAGAAATATATAGTTTTTTTTTCTTTTCAAAGAGAGAGAGAGAGGGAGGGGGGGGGGGAGGTAAGGTAGAAATCTAAATAAAAAAAAAAACAAATTCTAACATTTCAGCCAATCAAAATACGTTACATTGTTACACCCCATGTGGCAACATGTATGTTTATACAACAGTTGGAATCATTAATTGATGTCTCTAGAGGTGAATAACACCCATCTTATGTGGTAGAAATTCTAATATTCCCTATTGTTTGAGAATGGAATATATAAGTGATAAGTGGATTCCCGAGAATATCATATAGAAAAATAAAGACATTTTCGACATTATCTGTGAAATAGATATATTCTCTGCTTCAAGCCGCTAAATTTTCAACCATCGACAAAAATTTTCTTTACAGTATATTGCAACGAAAACTATAGATTTTTAGCCAACAAGCAAACAAGAAACTATGTTTATTATGTGTACACAATAATGCTGCAAAAATATTACCCAGGAAGAAATAAAGCAGACATGTTGTGAAGTTGTAGAACTTCCCGATATTTCATCCGATAATCTTTACATAAACCATGAATGGCTATGAATGTATCCATGCTGTAGACAAGGTGTGGTTTGTTTTGCCTGAACCGATATAGACTGTTTAGACAATTACACAGATGTCGGTCGGACAACAACTTCCTTCATCAAAACAAAGAAAATATAACTACACAGAGAGAACTATAAATACGTTAGACTGAAAAACAATGTTTACAAAGAGGCAATTTATAACTGGCATGTCGGTATAACGAGAGCAGCGTATGGTTTTAATCGTAGACTTATCACATGATTTCAAAAGTATCATCAACTTTACTATAATATTTTTCACAAAGTAGATCAACACATAACATAACTGTAATATTGACACAAATACATTTGTGAAACAGTTTATATTGTATGAGTACAGCTAAGTTGCGAATAAAACTTCAAAAGGATGTTTTCAAAAGTAATGATAAAAAGCGTAAAGAGAGAATGGGGAAAACAATCCGATTGTTACGTTAAGCTAACAAGTTATACGCTCGATCAGTGTGATAACATCGCCTGTAATTGAACAATACTGATTGGCGTTGATAGTTTGACCAGCATTGTCTTTGAACCGACAGCCACACTGAAGTCGATCTATTCACCTTAATCAACTACAATGAAGAAATATACTAGACTAGTAATAAACAGTGGCCGACAATAAGACTATATGTAAATCACGGTATTGTCCTAACCGGGACTGCCAGAACACGGCTCTCTGAGATTCGTGTGTGTCTTGTGACCGAGGAGATAAAGAATCGGTAATATGGACGGTTGAGTACAATACACCCGGCGCTATAACACACTACACCACAGCTCTTAATGGACGTGAAATTACATGGACTGTTTCACCAGGAAATACCTAATCTCAGTCCGTTAATCTGTGTTCAATGCGACAGAGTTTGAACATTCGTGGATCATTAACATCAATTATTTTCATTTCGGTGAGGTTTATAATTATCATTTTGGGATTCTAATGGAATGTATCGGAATATTTCAAGCTGACAAGACGTAGGATGACATTTTGATCTTCATTCTCTGTCTCAATGGTATCGATTTATATATACCTATCTGTTCACAATGTCTCTCAAGTCTATGTTATTGGCCTGGTGTGATATGGATCACCTATTAGTTAATGGAAACATTTCTTGTCTATATTTTAAATATATTTCCAACACAGAGCCAGGTTTTCTTGAGCGAAATATTATCATGTGTAAATGATTCTTTACTAGAAACCGGTGGGCGTAGAAAAAAACTGTTGAGGGAAACATGTGTTTCTTGTCTTTCACACATTGTTAATTGGAGAAAGAAAATGTTTTAATCTAATCAGACGAACATTGGATATATTTTAACCGAATTACGTCAAATGTGACTAGTGTTTGTATCAGGGTATTTACGGAAGAATACGGTCACGTGCGATAAGGCGAGACAATTATCAATCGAGGTATAGTTGAAGTGATGCCGTTGTGTTGGAAATAGAATTCAAACAGAATTTCTTTAGGACAAAATTGGATTTCCAAGGTTAGCTGGATCAAACATATTTTGGTATGTGTGAATTATAGTGTCTGACAGGGATATGTTAGCAGCTACACCCAGGGTTTTCTAGAAACATTAACTATAGTTTAATTTGATGTTGTGGCTGATGATGACGTAACAACCGTGTCGGAGCATGACATCATACACAGGACATGTGATCCTTTGGACTTTATTAATGACCACAGGTAAGGCATGACGTATTATCATCCATTGCGTGGCTATTAATTACGTCATTAATTGTTTCCGTCATATACATCATCAGTAAGTTGTTCCAAAGTCACCACAGTTTATTGATACGTACGTCATCAGTTCCTTAGTTTATTGTCACATACGTCATCAGTTTATTGTAACATACATCATCAGTTTATTGTAACATACGTCATCAATATATTGTCACATACATCATCAGTTTAATGTTTCATCAATTTGTTGTTGCATGCGTCATCAATTTATTGTTACATACGTCATCAATTTATTGATATATATATGATACTGCTGTCGCTTTAGGGTTAAATTTCAACAACAGTAATATGAATTCAAAAGCAGGTTTCACATGGGAGATAATAGTTTAGTCTGTCGTTAAACATCAGCTATACAACAACAGCTTGAATTCTTAAAGATTCCTATTGATCCATTCTATTAACAAGTAACTGTTTATAAAGTGCTGTTACTTATAGAACAGCGTTGGAAACATCAGGTCTGCACACCATGACAACGCGTTTTTAAGATATTTTGATGGCATAATCAACATCTGGTTGTATGCAATTCAAATCCTACTGAGTGTTGATTTCATTAATCAAAATATCTTGATTAATTAATTATTGCTGTCGTTTAGTTTATACTTTACAGTTACGTCTCCTCCAAAGGATTAAAAAAGAAATAGAAGGGTCGGGGATGAGGAAGACATATTTTGGAAAAAGTTGGAGGAGGCATGTGTGTGTGTGTGAGGGAGTGGGCAGTAGAAGGGGTTTCAAACTATCCAACAAGGAATATCTCTTGTCACCGCGATTTCTTTTACGAGAGCCTTGTGCTTTTACTGCGTATATCCATAGCAACAGGACGAGACAAGGAGTTATTTCTACTGGGAACTGATGACATTACTCTCTGAAACTGAACCATCATTGTCAATAACAATAGTCTGATAATGATGTTTATCCTGGTACCGCCATTGTCGGAATACACCTGCCACATATAGTTTTTGCTGTATTCGGCAGTGACGGAAAACCACTGTTATTTTAACATGTGCGTCAATTCGCCAGAATTACTTTCTGAAATATCTTTGAAAATATACTGAACAATAAAATAACTGTTGAAATAAGCGATTTTATATGATGTCATTTACGAATATTCATAAAACTAATTTCATACTCGTTGAAGATTGGAAGTATATTTCTGTGAGGAGAAATTATTTTGGCCTAAGTCACCAGGCGAAATTCAGCACATTGAACAACAATGATGCATTTCGAGACAGAAAGAAAAAATAGTGACTCAGTAGTGGCTCGCCACTTTTGTCTTACTTCACCCTCTCCAAAATATAGCTTATACTTTCAGACACTGACCTTGTATTCTCCATAAAGCTACGAGGTGGAATCTACTAACAAAACCAAATGAGAAAAAAAATCAGTTTCCATGCCCAGAATGTTAACTATTAAAACGAACTCAATATCGAAACTAAATCACAGGAATTCGATCAATGGATCGTGAACCACATATTGTAATGTGTTTGTGGACTGAATTTGATACAAGATACGAGAGATGTTGAGATTTGAAAGATATCCAAGGATACACCGTCAACTGATTTCAAAAGCTGAATCTCCATAAATAACTTGTGAAATTAATAGGTTATATTGTCTTCCTAAAGACAGACCAATTAACTAACAATGTCACAAACTACAAACATGACATTGATTGTTACTGCAAGCCTGTACATATCAGCAGTAATATCAATTTTAGCGCTTATCGCGCAGAATGTATTGCGCGAAAACAGATAAAATAGATTGCACCTATAGTAGTTATTGTGAATATGCCATTTCGTCGCTTCGTAAATTTTGTTGAAAATGAAAATGCGGTGAGATTAAATCCCGCCAAAATATGTATTTTTTTACAATACGACATTGCCTTTTGTTTTGTTAAATGTATGTATTAAGCTGGATGGTTTAGACAGCCGGCATATGGCTATGAGTTCTGAATAATGTTGATATGAGTAATTGTGTGATCGTCTCTGTAAAAAGCAAGATACCAAATATCTTGTAGTCTCACAAGACATCATAATGCATCATAACGCTAATGTACAGCAAAAATATCACCTCTAAGAAAACAATCGCAGACTAGTTGATATTTCATGTCAAGAAAACAACAAATACGTAACCATCGAGTCCAGTTAGGACATTTGCAAAAGAGGTTAAACCAGTGACATATCTCTATACATTTTTTTTTTATTTAAAAAAGTTTTGTCGAGTGTTCATCTTCAAAAACTAGTACATGTGTCAACACCACTAAGAAATTATTTGTTATCTTCCTTCCGAACTGTTCTGTCGTTACAAATTTTTTAAATCTCCCTTTATTATCAATGTTACGTTGGCGGTATATTTACGGAAACTGTCATTACATTTTCAGAATAGATACACACATGCCCTGTCCCTATCGTGCTAGATGAAGACAGATTGATCTGTCTCCTTACAGAATAAGTATTGGAAGCAGTCAAGATCTACGGTCATCCATGGTTGTCCCAGTTTCATATAAATGACTTAACAAATGTGTTAACACTAGAAACAAATTGCTGTAGTCACTGAGGATCTAGGGCACAAGTGTCATTTTGATCTTTTTTTCTACGAAACACAAGCAAAGATACAGGTTACTCGTGAGCTCTTCCGTTAATACAGACTTTAACACTTGAATGATTTTTGTAACACCGTTTTTGTTTTCTATCGTTTACAGGTATTCGCCAAGGAAACATGCTAACCTTTCGTTATATATTTACAGAGAGATAAAAAAACATGTTTGGATTATTGATGTCATAGAAAACCTTTTATGAGATAGCCAATGAGTTGTAACTTGCGTCGTAAATAAGACACTGTGTCATCCTCAGCTTCGATCATTGGAAAGCTGATATAGGCTTCTTTTTTTCCATGACACTAAGAACACGCAAGACTATCATCTGTCTTCAAACAAATCTTCAATATCATGAGAACAATAAACAACACGAGAAATACAATAAAATCATTTATTTGTCTGGTATCCTTTACTGTCATCGAATCTTCAACCACGAAAAAATTCAGAAAACTATAATGGTTTCTATCTGTATTTGATACGAAAACCCCCAAACGTACTGTTAAATATTTTTTTTTTGTAAAACACAGTTTTCATGGGTTCCAAAAATTACTAAATTATATTTCGATGACACCTGATTTCGCGGCTAAATATTTCTGGTGATTTCATTTTTACTCAACCTTGTTCTTATTTGAGAAGATTTACAGTGTCGGCGGTGAAGCCCTTCTGGCATATCTGGTCATATTCTATTTTTACTTTTCCAGGAGACTCAGTGTAAATCTTTCTTTTGTTCATATTTTGCCATTGCTTCATCGAATTTGAATCAAAATTGTTAATATCAAATGTCGTTTCAATAGATTGTACAACGTTGAGATGACTAGATATGAAAACCATTGTCGTTAATGACAAACATTATTCAATAGCGCTTTCCCCTCTAACGGGAGTGACTTGTTGCTACTGCAGTATACACACAATCGCTATTTCTTCTGGTGTAAAATTGTACCTTACACCACAGAAACTAACACTCAACAGGTTTCTCAAATATTTCAGGAGTTAAATATAATTCTAATATCTAAATCAATTTAACAGATATGTCATTACAATCGGCTCAATCACAGTTTTTTTGTAAGATTTTTTTTATGCAAGTAAAGAACACCATTTAAAAAATATTGAAACTTTGCGTCCCGTTATCAATTATGTTATCAATTATTATAGTGTCCTCTCAAAATTGGGCGATTGATGTTAAACTATGAGTACAGGACTCGGATATCTCAGTCCCCACAATCACTGAGATTTTTTTTATTTTTCTTTGTTTTATTTTGTTAATACTTTAACAATACAACATTTGCTTAATTCATAGGATAACTCTAATTCTCTTAAATAACTTTTAAGAAAATAAATGCAATATTAGGGAATAACTTTGCAATTTTAAAATATTTCTATCACAGGTCTTTTGTTATAAACACATCCTGATTGATATCAAATTTAAGTGGATTCTTGTGTAATATTGGTTTCGAATTCCATCATTGTACAAGCACAAGCATAAATATTTAGTTGATTCCAAATACACGTGGTAGACCAATTATAATTCATATTGTTTGAATATTGTACAAAAGGAACACAAGTAGATAACATTTTTTAATAATTTAGATTAGATACATTAGTGTCAAACAATGCATTGAACTGCATCATACAGCTGTTTCGTCCTTTTAGGACTCGTCAGTGATGCTACATCATGCAGCTGTTTCGTCCTTTTAGGACTCGTCCGTAATGCTACATCATGCAACTGTTTCTTCCTTTTAGGACTTGTCAGTGATGCTACATCATGCAGCTGTTTCGTCCTTTTAGGACTCGTCAGTAGTGCTACATCATGCAGTTGTTTTGTCCTTTTAGGACTCGTCAGTGATGCTAAGGGCCTAAATTGTGAAGCCTAGGAGGCTCCTGGGGAAAATCCAAGTGACGAAAGAAAAGGCAAAATCTAGACGCGGAGGTGCATCAGTCCTATAATCTAATAACTTTCGTTATTTTTAAATATCTAAATGTTTAAGAATAGTTTCAAGGGCACGTGTATATTCTGAACCGTGCCACTATTCGAATGAATTAAAACGTAAAATGCATATTACGGCAAATCTCGGGAACTTAGATTCCACAAGCACTGTTTACCGCCTGCTATCTTAAAATTGTACAAAAGACATACATGTGAAATGCACCTTTTAATGATTTAAGAGTTAGATACAATAGAGCCAAAAAATGAATTAAAATGCAACAATTTAATATGTAAATATTTCCACGACGTATTTTTAATACATGTCACGTTTTTATCCGACTGGAAAAAAAGTTCCTTTTCCATAGAAATGTGTTTCTATCAATTTCCTTTTTTATTTTAGGAAAATTTCAAGTTTCAATTTGCCATTATTACTTCTTATTTCTCTGCATGTTTATACTACAGTGTAATTTGAGTAAGCCCATTAATTTCATATCATTGCGTTATTTGAATTTTTTTATCGTCTACAGACCTATCCACGGCAATTCGAGCTATCAGATTCTCTTAATCCCAGCAGTGGTTCCTTGCTATTTTCGCTTTTTGAACAGAAACGTCCATTCTCACAGCGTTTGTGCCTGAAGAAACCAATTAGTTCTGTTTGTCTGTCAGTATCACATGCGAAGTGTAGATGTATTTAGAACAAATTGCTACTGACAATGACAGATCATCGTCTATGTGTTTTTTCTTGGAAAACTCTGAAATATGGAAGCATTTCTTGTGAAATTGTTGTGAAACATGTCCTAATATCACTTAATGATCCTCTATCTATCGATTCATTTCGCTGGCTTATCTGAGAGGCAGAAAACTAATTGTGAAATCATAAATTTTCGTGGTGGCTATGTTTTCTCAAAATGCTCTCGAATTTTAGAAAACTGTTAGTATTTGGTATTCAAGCAGAAGTACCGTAAAACCCTTACGAAATTCATAATCATCCAGTGATTGCTTCGAAATTATCAAACTCATCATTTTGACAATGAAGCAGTATATTAACAAACGATAATGGAGAAAAGAATTCGGGAAAACTGTCACACGATCGTAATTTAAATGGTTCTTTTTTCAAATAGAAAAGCCAACAGAGTTATTTGAAAAGGCATGAGATTTGTGCAAAATTATTACTTAACCGTAACTGTATACTGAATATAAGGAAGGTTCTGTGTGAAGTTATTGGGATATTTGCTTCAAAAACATTTTTTTTGACGATTCCGAATTTGTCGTTAGGTAGTTAGCTACTTTGTAATTTGATTGGATTGTCAGATTTAACTTCGGCATTCTTCATTTTTATTTTTCATTTGTTCGAAGAAAATGCACGATTTTCAATTATTTCATTTTTTATCATTGTTCACAGTGCATGGATGCAGTTTCTGATAAACTTCACAAAGTGATGCCATGGTTTTTAGGGATGTGATAGGGAAAGGGGATAACTAGGGATGTTAAAGGGGAAGGGGACAACTAGGGATGTGATAGGGGAAGGGGACAACTAGGGATGTGATAGGGGAAGGGACAAATAGGGATGTGATAGGGGAAGGGACAACTAGGGATGTGATAGGGGAAGGGGACAACTAGGGATGTGATAGGGGAAGGGACAACTAGGGATGTGATAGGGGAAGGGGACAACTAGGGATGTGATAGGGGAAAAGACAACTAGGGATGTGATAGGGGAAGGGGACAACTAGGGATGTGATAGGGGAAGGGACAACTAGGGATGTGACTGGGGAAGGGACAACTAGGGATGTGATAGGGGAAGGGGACAACTAGGGATGTGATAGGGGAAGGGACAACTAGGGATGTGATAGGGGAAGGGGACAACTAGGGATGTGATAGGGGAAGGGGACAACTAGGGATGTGATAGGGGAAGGAACAATAAGAGTTATGATAGAGGACAACTAGGGATGTGATAGGGGAAGGGACAACTAGGGATGTGATAGGGGAAGGGACAACTAGGGATGTGACAGGGGAAGGGACAACTAGGGTTGTGATAGGGGATACTTGCAAACACTATGACACTACTAATGTTAGCGTCATATTTTTGTTGTGTTACCATGACGCATATTGATAACGACATATATCCTGACCTGTCAAACTCTTACACTTAGGATTGAGATAACCCTCTTACATTCGGTGCGAGTTATACCCGTCAATGGAACAGACTTATGTAAGATTGTTAAATTAAATTTACCTTGAAAATAAATCCCAATAATGCTTAGTTCCTAGGAAGGTAATAAAGATGTGTTCGATTTGATACTTTTTAAGGGTTTCTTTATGAAACCCTACAGGGTATGTAAACACGACTATCATTTTTAGATTTACTGTAACAAAGACGGTTGTGAATACTTGTATGTTATCACCGGTCCTCCATCTGTCAATGTCCTCTTCTACTCTCTGTCATTCTGTATTTTTTATAGTTATGATCCTATTTTAATATGTCAGAATATTTGATGCCTTATAACATGAAAGAAGTGTTTTGTAAATTAATGAAAATGTGCGAATTGTAGAGGCGATTTTTTAACCTGATTTTCTTTCAATTTGTACGTACTTTTGTTTATTTTTCTTGCCGACTTATTTTCTGTTCTAATTATGATTTCGGACAGCTGCATTGATAACTTGACCCCTTTGCTTTTTATGCGAGACAACTGGATACGAAACTGTTCCTAATAACTTGTATAAAAGTTATATACACAAATCATTGCGTATCTATGAACTATTTCAAAGATATTCTATAACTTCATATACTAACGAGTCTTGTATAAATGATTAATGTATATATTTATTTTATCTACTTATTGAATATTTCTCTTGTATTATAATTTCACGATTTATCGGCTGTAATTTAAATCTTTCTCTCTTCAGTCACTGTACAAAGTCTGGAGTGTTGGAAGTGTATATCTAACGACTGTGAAGGGAACCCGGAACTTAACTACAAAGCTAGGAAAACGACATGTGGAGAAGACGCGTCTTGTATGGTTAGTAGTGAAAGAAAACATTTTAAAGTTTTATATTCGAATATGACTTATTACAGTGCTTTATCACTTCGGTCTTTTATTGAAACAAAAAAAAAAAAGGTTTGCTATCCATTGACCATACTATTTCGATTTTCTTATGACCGGGCATAGTGCACTAATTGATAATTTATCTCGTCTCGTCACTTCACATAATTGTGAAAAAAATAAACGTACTTCATTTCGTTGCTCTGAGAATACCGAATGGATAGCAATACCACTGCATAACCGACTAACGTAACACAGGGGTTCAAAAGATGCTAATTGATGAAACTCATTGTAAGTTTGATGGTCGCCATTGTGACCTCCTTAAGAAATATTCTATTTCTTTGTGTGATAGGCAGCAGGACGACGTTTGATGCTCGTTAATTTGTCTGATCGTTGTTGTATAGCTTGTTCTTATGCGAGAACGTGACATTACTTACTTGGATTGACCAAGGTGATGGCGATGAAGCAGAAGACGCCTACCCTCCCAGTACACCTGGTCATATTCAATTTGTACTTTTCCATGAATCTCAGTGTAAATCTGTAAATCTTTCTCTTGTTTATATTTTGTGCTAGGTTTATGGAATTCGAGTTGGGATTATGATTATTCTGCCATGTTGGTATTTTATTGATGTGTCTTTTGTAAGATATTCGAAAATGCAGATGTTCACTGGTGGTGGATTTTAAGTCAAAAAGTAAAATTCATTATTTGGTTTTACTGAATATGATAAATTTGCACACTTGTGTGTCTTTCGTACAACTTCTGTCGATTTGTATTTTTTTCATTCAGTTGAAAAGATAACAAGTGACAAAACTGTTACGAGGCAAATATCAAATACATCGGATAAAAATTAAATGAAAACATCAGGAGTTATTTCATAAATATATCGATCTTATCACAGACTTACACGATATTGACAATATTTCTGTTTTGTAGAAAGTCCGATACAAGATGTACTATAATCTAACAAAGACGGTTTTCGACTCCATCATTCGCACGTGCTCCTCTGGAGAATGTATACCCGTGACGGAGAAAGACTTCGCCGAGTGTATCACTGATGACCGCCTCTATATGGTCACTGGCTGTTCCCTCAGGTCGTGTTGTAACGACAAAAACTATTGCAATTCCGGAAACCTGTTACGACCCCAGGTCCAGAGATTATGTGCCGCTTCATTATTTGCCTACTTAATCTGGAAAATATTACATTAATTTCGACATTTCATCATCAACCTTGTGTCATTTTCGTATGTAAATGAGTTATCTTAGGAAAGTTCTTTCTGTTTCTTGTCTATAACTTTAAATGAGGTTACAGTGTAGGAAAGCGACAATCATCTTTACCTTGTTTTTCTCTGTCAACCCGTTTCAATGTTTTTGTCTGACGCAGGAACCGTATGATATTTGATTTTACAGGTACGTATATTGCAGATACATCTCTGGTTTTCATCATTCATGGAAATTTGTATACTTTAATATGTTTGTACGTATAATAAATGATATATGACACTTGTTTCATTGGTCAATATGATCATTCCACATACATTATGTAAGTGATATCTGTATATATATATATATTTCGAATGTATATGTAGATACTTAATTGATATTTATAAACACAGTTTTAATAATGAACATCACCTGGTCATCCTTTGTTTCTTAATTTGTTGTTTGTGGTTCAAGTCTATTGTGTTCACTGTGGAGTTTGCAATCTGACCATATCTGTTCATATTTTTATCAATGCCTGACCAGAGTGACCTGTGCTCATTTTTCATTCTCATATTGACAAGGCATATCCAACTGTAAATGAGGTTACAGTGTAGGAAAGCAACAATCATCTTTACCTGTTTCTTACATCGCTGTGGACTTAAGTCTATAACTTTAAATGAGGTTACAGTGTAGGAAAGCGACAATACACATCATTTATACCTGTTTCTTATATCGCTGTTTTTGTGGACTTAAGCAATATCTTACACCTTTCTGAAATTGTTCAAAAACGGTATTGTCAATATAGCTTTGTTATATTTTGAGATCTTATTCAGATTCACAATAGTTATCTAAGAGGCATAGCAAACGCTTTCTGAAAATTTGAAATTATTCTTCAGTTATCATTGTTCAGGTACAATAATTTTGAAATCGTGTCAATATTACACAAATTTGTATATACATAATATATATTTCTACTCCCATGGGAATCAACACCTTTTCATACACTTGTGACAGCACTTCAGTCCCGTGTCGCCAAACACACTCAGCAACCACCGCTCATCTAACGCCGATTTCCCCTGCTTCGCCGTAATCAATGTTCTATGCTAAAAACGAAGACGGATCGAACAACATTTGTACGAAATCTGTTAAGTTGGTTCTTAGATAGGATTGCCATGGATACCGATGCGTGCGTCAAGATAGCTTTAATTGTGTTTAGTATTAGCAACATATGTACGCACGTGCTTTTCTTATCTCATTTCACGTTTGCTTAACAATTCTGTACGAAAATTCGGTCGAGAAATGTACCAGGTGTTTTCTGTCAAATCAAATAACGCCTTCTCTTAGTGTACATTTTACCGCCATCTGGTGTTACTGGGAAGTATACAGTTGGAAAGCTGCCCGGAAAAAAACTGGTGACAGGCTATACTGAGTATAGAGAATTTGTGTTTCAATCTTCCTATATGATACTAACGAAGGAGATTGAGATGGCTCAACGCTAATAAAAACTCAATAAAGAGATTAGGGAATATCCCCCCCCCCCCCCCACCCTTAAATGATTTTTTTTTCATCCCATACGAGATTAGAAGAATTGAGTATCATAAGTTTTAATTCTGCGAACTTTGGTGAGGACAATAATAAATGGAGGCGGTCATTTTGTGGTGCCATTTGGAATTCATGATGTAATTTCATAGTCCATATGAAGACATCACGATTGAATTCTGAATGGCGCAACTCATTGGCTAACGTGATGATTTAGTGTTATGGTCGCTATCATAACTTCTCCTTCTCATTGGAAATGGTCCGTTATCTTATGCGATAGGAATATAGCCCTGTCCGATACTTTTAGGAATGTCTGTAGATTTGCTGTGATATTTACTCGGTTTTTGAAAACATGACATTTTGGACTGACCTAGATTTACCTGGCGGCAATCGTCGATGGAACACTTCTTTTTCACTTTGTGCTACTTCATAAGTCTCTATAAAAATCTTTCTTTTGTGTTCATATTCTGACCTCGATTTAATTGAATTACGGTGCCAACACTTCGGTATTCTCTAATTCATCAGAGCATAACTTACATGGATCTCATGTCAGTTCAATATTATATGACAAAGAAGTGAGAAAATACAATCTTTGTGTTTTCTTTATTTTCAATATCAATCACAAATATACACATATTTTTACAAAACGACATCATTGTTTATCCTGAGAATGTACAATTTCTTCAGCACGTGTCTTAATAATCCGTTTTATTCTGGAGTTCTATCGACTTTATTACATAAATCTGGAGATCGGATCGATAAACATCGATAGACTGTATGAATAATTCGGACTAATTCGACCCCTTCTTTCTCAGAATCAGCAACTAGTTTTCACATTGACATTAGGTCACCTCACCAATAAATATCTCGCATAACGCGATGCCCAACATCTATTACGTCTATTGTGAGATACCTAATGAAATCTAAATTTTGTGTGCTGTGACATGAGGTCAATCCGTGTCCTTAGAGCCGTACTGGAAGATGTAAACTTATCTGAATATAAGCACGGAGCTATACATCACAAACGCCGAAACTTGGCTTATATCGATGTCGACCAGTAAATGTTTATTTCATCCTTGTCCTAGTGAACAGTCAACAAACACGCGAATAGATGGGACTACGGAATCCACATTGTAAAGAGAGGTATCTGTTTAACACAAAACATGTTATTTTATTTTGGTGTTGTATATAATAAACCAATTTGCATGAGCCCCAAGCTAGTCAAAGGAATAAATGCCAAAACTTCTCCTTGAACTGTCTCATTTCCAGGTTATATTCAATCAGTCTGGATCCTAACAGCATGATTGTAAACGTATGTTACTAGAACTATTTGATAAAATATTCGAGGATTTTCTTTTTTGTTTTAAACGAGTTTTACATAAACATAATGAGAAACATCCATTCAATCAAACCCAGACATATAGTATGTTACAACCGCTTCCTCGTCACAGCGACATGTTTACAAATCTATTCTCTTTTTCATCATCATCACTAACATCGTCACATCATCATCATCATCATCATCATCATCATCATCATCATCATCATCATCATCATCATCATCATCATCATCATCAATTATAATAATAGTTCCTTTTTTTCTGCAGTCAATTCAGCACCCATTAGGATAGTTCGTAGCAATTCATGTCAGCGATATTATCAAACATGGATCTTGGATATACATCCAACATACCTTAACTACATTCTAGGACAAAATAACACTTTGATATACGAGTCCCCTCACTTTTTACCAACAATTTCAGAGATTTTAATTTAACAAAAAAAAAATAAATAAATAAATAAAACGGAGAATCTGAAATAAAGAAAATTAAAGCTTTCTAATGACGATTTAAAGAAATTGATTCCTTCTTGGACCCCATTAACGGTACCAGTGTGAGCATCAGGGGTGCTTGTCTGGCATTAATAGTTTAGTACTTTTGGAAATCTGCAAGATATAATTGTTCGTCTTTCTAGGATTCAGTGATGCTAGAATAATGAAAGTAGGAAATTCACAAAGAGAATTGAAAAAAATATTAGCCTGTCGAATTAATTCTCAAAAATGTGAGAGCAAACTGAAAATAAAATTTACGGTGTTTGTCTTACTGGAAGTTTGTTTAAAAGACACAACAGTGATTTACGAGTTTTAATACAAAAATTTCAATTAGAAACATTAGAGCAAGATGAAGAAGAAAGCTGCAACATACTGCTGTTCTTTCAGGACTGGTCAGCAATGCTTTGGTCCTTCTATATTAAGGCCGAGGGGACAAATTCCTGACTGAATCATTAATTACATAATGACACAAAATTAAAACAGAACAACTGCATATTTGCCTCATCGACTCCTGTCCTATCTAAGTCAATAGGGTAAATATGGCAGTTGAAACCTCCATCACGATAAACGTATGTTCAACACCTAATTAGGAAGAACCGAATCCCATAGCTTTTTCATGTCAGGACAGTAATTAGATGTATCGATCCGAGTTCCATTTCCTTGTGACAAGTCATATTTTCACAGACCTAGACATGAAATTTCTCTTCGTGTTTAGGTAAAACATTAATTTTCGACGTCATATTATGTAGAGGAAATTAGCTTCCCAATAACTTGAAATGGGACTCGTAGTTCTTATACGGAAAGCCATCAGATTTCATTCACGAGGCTGCAACAAGCTTGCTAAAGAATAATAAGACTCAGGGGATGTTCAGACTTCAACTCATCTCATCAAAACATTGTGATTTGAGTATGACATGGCCATTTCATCCCTGACAACGACCAGTATAAGAGAAGCCACATTGGCTATTGTCACTTCCTCTTTGAAATGAACATATCACGTGACACGCAACAGGCCGAGGGCTGGAATTTACACCGCGCGCGCTGAAATTCTATCAGGTCTGTTGCTGACATTTGTGAATGACAAATGGCATGTGGCTGACTTGGTTCGTGTTTTGTTCTCGATTAAACGAATGGCTTTTTTTTTTCTCCAGCATAGTAATGCCTTGGAGCATGCATAAATAATTTGTACAGTTTTTAACCCACTATTAACCACTACGCCTAAAGGACTATGTCCGGAAAGACTACACCTTACGACACATTATCCTCTGACGTAATGGTCGATACCACACACATGCTTTTCAATGGTTCAATAACAACAATTCCAGTTATCATTATTCTGTTTTCAAAAGTTTTAATATTTTCAGTCATCCACACGACGCCATTATATAGTTACCTGACTATGAAGACAGTTGCGTTCAACAACCAAATTATCTGAACAAGGCATAATGTTTACGGCTTCAGTGTTGACTAGAAAACATTAAAAAATTTCTGGAATTTCTATGTCATATGTTATTTGTTTCCATTAAAAATTGTGTTATGTCTTCAGTATCAGCATTAGTTGGGTAATAGAATGTTGCCAAGACCGACATTTCAATTTATAATCGGACATTTGGGAAATTTCCCATCACGAAACAGTTATCTTGTGTTGCTAGACGAAGT